AGTAAGGTACGGTACGTCGCGCGTCGATGCATACTAAGTAAGAAGTAACAAGAGATACCTACTTAGTTACTAATTAGGTACGTTAATTTAGTTGTCTTGTCTCTCTCTCTCTCTCTCTCTCTCTCTCTCTCTCTCTCTCTCTCTCTGAGAGAAGTGTCACCTACCAGTAGACACAAAACACTAGTGGGTAGCAGGATCAAATCTCAAAAAAGAAAAAAGCCAATCTCACAAACATGATAAAAATCAGAACATGAGGGAGAAACCATGAACCCAAGAAAGATGTAAAGAAACGAAATGATATTGTAAACAAAGCCAAAATGGGGACATTAGGGCTAGAACAACATATATCAGAACACAAATTAATATAACAAGGAGCAATGAAGGTTGATCTAAATTCTAAAACCCTTTGGAAAGGGGAATCCATTAAATTGGCCCACTAAAAACTATCAAGTTTTGGATACACATTTTCAAGAGAGCATTCAGGCCCTCTTGAAGAACTTGCCACCTTTCGTTCCCATACCCGTCCCTAAAAGAGAGTTGGAGAGTACTGATTTGGTGTCTGGCCTCCATTTTAGTTCTTTGAGGAGAGAGAAAAGACTAGCCAGAGCAGGGGTTACCTCGCTGTCCTTTATATTGTTACAGGAGATGACTCGGAGTCTTTGAAGCTCCTTCCACATGAGAACAACTGATTCCAGGCCGCCTGTTGTGAGTAGAGAGCAGCCTTCTAGTGAGAGAAACTTCACCCTCCTGTGAAGAAAACACTGGAGGGTTATGGGGCACATAAGATGTTACAAACAAGAATAGTACACTACAATACATCGAGATTTTTAAAGATCTTAACAAATCGAAGCCAGTTTACAAATGATTTATGATCAACAATGAAAAGGACATGTTATTTCATGTTTTGCAGTCTGAAGAGAGTGTTTCTTTCTACCCTCTTCTCATACAGCGATGGATGTACCATGAGAGCGGTGAGAACCACAGGGAAGCTGCAAAGTGAGCAGACTACTGCAGCAGTGAGAAGTCCCCCTCTCTCTCTCTCTAGTGAATAGTACAGGGAGTTGGTGAGCAATAGAGACAGAAGTAGAGTCATGGTGGTCAGAAACTTCAGTCATGGCCCACCCTTAACTGCAAGTCTAGCTGGGTGCATGTAGATGTATAGAAGATTGGGCGGCTTATCAAAGAAATCTTATCATGCATTTCTCGAGAGTACACTCCCATTGAGTGATTTTGAAGGCAAAGGATGCAACAGGAACCTGGGGCTACAACTCCCTTAAGTTTTCAGATGCGCACACGCAGGCACGCGCACATGCACGCTATGCACACACTCACACACTTGCACACACATGCACACACACATACAGACTCATTCTGAAAATATAAAGTGGAGGTTATTTTCATTTGTTGTTCGGGAAACTCATGGTAATTTCATATAACAGATAAAATCAGTGTAATTCTTGCAGTGCAGTGTCAATGACAAATCCAGTAAAACTATATAGACGAGCCAAGTTTCCCCAAAACAAAAGCAGCATGAGTAAATAAGAAATGCCAGATCGTTTCATTCCCGTAGATAAAAGAATCGTTTCATTCCCGTAGATAAAAGAATCCTATAATCAGATGCCAACTACTGTGTGCAATGCTTACGCAGGTATCCTAAGTTGCAACAAGATACTAAGCAACTTATTAAAGATAAAAACTCAGCAACAATTAAGCACAGACTCATTTGGACCCCTATTATTCCCCAACCTCCTAGCAGTGATTCGGGAATTTTTTGTTTTGCTTGGGCGGGTCCCTAAGTTGAGACCAAGTCTGGCACGACTCATCAAATCCGAAATTATTTGCAAAAACAAAAGCGGAACAGAAGTCCAACCGCCTTCTCTTACTTCTTCATCAGATCACTGAAAATCTGTCTCGAGGCCTACTTTTCTGGCCTCTGTCCAATCCAAACCTTGGACTAAAACACAAAACACAAAATCTTGAACATATGAGATTTGGAATATGAAATTAGTGTTTGGGCACAAATTTCAAAATCTTTCGATCAAGTAAAAAGTATAGTTTAGGGGTTATCATTTGGGGCATTTGAGAATCTATTTACAAAGATTGGAGGCCTTGATTCGCACAGTACGCATCTTTGGAGGATTGTCATCAAATTTGTATAAATGAATTTATTTTGTATGAACACACTTAGTTATCCTTTCTTTAATACTGTATGTTTGTTGCATTCTCTCACAAAAATCAGTAAGATTTTTTTTCTATATTATCATACATGCAGAATTTTTTTTACGTGCATATACGTGGAAATTACTTCTTGGGGTTTCTTTCTGTCAATTTGACCATGCCAACGAAATGTTTTTTTTTGTTTTTTGTGCCTCTAGCATGCTTAAAAATGTTTTGAAAATAATATTGCCTCTCGAAAGATTCAGAAAATCAAATTTTCATATTTCGATTTTAAAAAATAAAATAAAATAAATTAATACCTGTGGCAATCACTTGTTGGGATTTCTTTTTTTAAGCCAATGATACTCATGAGATGTTTAGATGGTTTTTATGCCTCTCGCATGCTTAGATTGCTTCCAAAGTTAAGATTCCTCAACAATTTTGATGTATGGGAATCACTTGTTGGCTTTGTCCTTTTCGACAAATGCTTTTGGTTGCATTTTATGCGTCCGGCATGCTTTGTTTATAGAATCATATTTTCCCTAAAATGCAGGAAAAACTAAATAATTATGTTTAAAATTGAATGTACTTTAAAATATCTTTATATATGTCTTTATAGACTTAGACCCCACAATAATTTATGATTTTGCAGACTTAGGAGATGAGGAGGAGGATTAAGGATCGGGAATTGTAGTATGGGGTGAATGTGGGATAAAGTGAGATGCAGATCCTATGGGAAAGAGAAGGCTGCTGGTATCAAACGCTTAAAACATCAACTAGCTAAAGTTTGGAGAAATGTTTTGTCTTGTCTAAGCGTTCCTGTGAATGTCAAGCAACAAACGATGCAATACATCATGACAGTAAAAGAAAAGCAGCACAAAAATAGAAAGTGATCGAGAAGGTAGGGAAAGATTACTATGCACCTTCGTATAAAGAAGATGAAGATGATTTCCAGGCACAACTTGATTGTCCGCGGAGGAAAAGTCGGAAGATATGTACAGATGGCAGGGCAGCATGGGGAGGGCGAGTGCTGTGGGGTCCTCAGGACCATGACCAAATCATCCAGTATCTAGATCTTCCAGCCTACTTGAGAGGCTAGGACCTCCTGGTATTTCTCAGTCTTCTCTGGCTAGCCGACCCTGCCTAGTGAGCCTAGTCAGGATCACTTGACCCCATTCTGTCTGAAGCCCCAATTAGAGTAGACAACCTAGAGTTCATGTGGGCCAAGACAATTATGAAGAACATTACAAACGCAACAGCCAAGTGGTTTTATGATGCTGATGTCCCATTTAATGTCTTAAATAGTGAATATTATTAACCCGTGATATCGCTATTGCAAATGCAGGGCCCAGATTTAAGCGTGCAATAATACATAAGCTTGGTAGGACTTTCTTGGATGAAGGGGTAGCCAAGGTTGAATTATAAGGTCATGTGGCAAAGGACAGCGATAGTAGTCAAGTCAGATCATTGGAATGGAAAAAAAAGGATGGGAACTTCTCAATTTTTTGGTATATTGTCTAAGAGGTGGTCCTCCACACGTGTATGACAAAGTCTAGAGTGGGAGACTTTATTTAAGTTGCTTAATAATGTGGTGGATTGGGGAGGAGAACGTAGTTCAAGTGATTACAGATAATGCAAGGGAACTATGTGAATGCAAGGAAGTGGCTTATGAGAAAGAAGCATCTCATTCCCATGCATAACTCATTGTATAGACCTTATGTTGAAAGCTGAGTTGAAGCAAGTGAAGGACTATGTTGAGAAAGGGAAGACAATAACGCCATTCACATGCAGTCAATCATGGGTTCTTAACGAGGCAATGCATGGCAGGAAAACTAATGAGGCCAGCAATTACTAGATTTGCCATTTCATACCTGACTAAAATGTCAATCCTTAGGTCGCAATAGGGACCAGGTTGCTACTTATCTCAGGGACTCCCCCTGCAAGGGAAGTATTATCAATAGCCGCAGGTTTTGGAATAATTGAGAGTAAATTGTTGGTGTCATAGCTCCATTTGCAGCACTCCTACAGATAGTTGATTCTGATCTGTAGCCTATATGGGATTTTTATATGAAGCAATGGACAATGTAAAGCAAGCCCGAATTGCAAGTACTACAACAGAGCATGGGACATAATCGATGACTAGCGGAGCAGCACAGTGCACTGCCTAATCCATGCAGCAGGTAATTTTCAAGTTTCAACGTATCTAAAGTTGTAATTTTCTTGTTTATGTGCCACAAGCCTTGAGGCTTCTTTATTTCACAAACTAATCCATGGCCATGTATTATTCATCTCTCTCTTCAAGTTTCTTATTAACCTCGGTAACACTCTCCCGATCAAAACCAGCACCACTAAGATCATTGAAGGGTTGAAGTATTGCACTGGAAGATTGGAGAGAGAGGACGGGGCGCAAATTGAGGCTTTGGAAAAGGTAAAATTCAGTTTAATTTGTAAATTAAAATTGTGAACCAGAGATGATTTCTCCATTGGATAATGCATCTACATGATCCCCTTCTGGAACCCTCTTTAGTTTATGACTTCATTCCTATAGCTTCCTCTATACAGGGATGCAAAGGAGATTTTGAGTCAAATCTAATGATAAGAAGTCACATGCAACTAGAGCCAGGTTATTTTTAAAAATGTACTTTATTATGCTAGTATATTGACCTATTCCATTGTATTTTGCTATGTGATTATACTCTTATTTGAGTAATTTCCCTTATCCTTTTTTATGTTTTTTTTGGTCACATGAAAACCATACCCTTACTTGCAAGGAGTCAGAATCAGGACCCTAAGCCAAACATGTTCCACCATAGGGTGTTACTGAATTTAGACTGCATTCCAGTGATCCACAAACCAAGGAAGAATAGGTTGAGAAGAGAGAGTGTCGAAGAATGAGTAGTGGCGCAAGAAGAAACAATCATCAACAAGGGGACCTCAAAGAAGAGATCCATCTAGATGAGGAAGAAGAGGAGGGGGCGCCGACAAGACTCAACATGGGGGACATCGAGTTGAGGTTGGGCAAGATGATAAGGCCTCTGATAACAATGAAGGTGGTGAGCCAGCTACTGCAGCCGAAGTGACAAGCAAGAGGGGGGCGTGCATGAGGGTGGTGGTAGCGAAGATGAGCATGAGGGTGGGGCTAGCCTTGGCGACTTTGGATTGGGAAAAAGCCAACCCATACAAGCATATGGTGGCCACTACCAAGACAGCTAGGTGATTAAAATGACTCTCTAAAACACTCATATTGGCTGTAGACCGATGTCCAGTATTGGAGTGCCTCTCTTTCTTTCTTTCTTTCTTTCTTTCTTTCTTTCTTTCTTTCTTTCTTTCTTTTTTTTTGGTAGTGTCGTTATGTTACTCTATACACCCTAGACCCACCAGCAAACTATGCAGTTGCCTTTGATTCTGAATCCCAGTGACTCTACTACTAAATATGTTGTGTATAATGTTGGTGGATGTGGGACTCCTTAATCTTTAACATGAAGTTGGAATTTGCAAATTGATGGGAGTCATCTAAATTTGCAAGAGAAATTATAGAATCTTGGAATAATATTTCATCGAGTGTATGTCTAACATATCAAAGCAATCCTATCTACATGTTTAAATTGAAATTGCACCATTTTTAGTTTTATACATAGTTTTCCCGAACTTCCTATTTTTCCTTTTTTTTTAATATTTCCCTTTTTTTATTGGACTTGGACAATATTCGGTGAGTTGATCCAGACTCACCAAGTCAACTCACCCCAGGCAATGGCGAGTTTCCAGAGCAAGTCCAAGGTTAAAAGTGTTGCTTTGTATAGAACAGAGTTTCTCACATAGTAAACCTAAGTGCCATCAAGCATAGAGGCAAAAAAATTGGGCAGCAGATCAATTTTCTTAAAGAATCAAGCTCAGCACCAGTAGTAAATTGCAGTGACAAGATGATTAGGCCCCATGGAGCATAAAGAAACTTGGTTTGTATGTCAATCATTCTCAGAAAGGTCCTCTATCACTGACATATTCTACTAGAGCTCATGTTTCCCTCTTTCAAGAGCATGGAAACCTAAACCTGGATTTATAGTAACCCTGTAGGCTATACACAAGTAATACAAACATACGCCACCTTACACAGATATATACTACTTTACCTTATTTTAGTATATAACATACAAATACAATAATAAAACATATATCCCAATTGTCATATGCATTGTATGTTACTATACGTAAGATTTTATTAAAGATTGTACAGGATATTATACGTTACAGATGTTACAGACTATATTATATATGTTAACCATTGTCTGTTTGTGTGTCCACGTGTGGGTGTTGTCCATTTCCAATGCGATTCCAAAATCAATAGATTAATACAGCAAGAGTCGTTAACACCATTCTACAACATCTTGCCTACTTATTGAAGTCGCACATTTTCATCATATTATCCCCTAAAGAGAGATCAGTCTATGACACCCATTCCCTTTCCTCTCTCTCTCTTGCTCTCTCTCATTGGGAAGAGTTGTAGCAAAAGGAAGTGCAGCGAGGGATGGTTGACGAGATGAAGGGGGGCGATTATAAGCAAGAGAACAGTGTAGAATAGTAAGCTCTGCAAGGGTAGAAGAGAGAGTTAGGACTCAAGGATAAGGAGTGTTAATGATAGGAATTTGTAAAGGTAAGAGACATTCTTGTTGAGCTGTTGGGATGAATGTTTGGAAAGAGGATTAGGATGCTTAGCAAGGATAGGGCTGTTAATCATGCCAGGTTCACGCCACATTCTAAGGACAATGGGCTATAGGCTCAGGCCAAATCAAAATTTTCAATAATCCATATTTTAGACACTTTTTTCATCATTTATAGACTTTTAATGATATCTATTACCTATTTTAGTTTTTGACGATTTTTAAAGTCCGCCGAGTTATTCGTCTTGGGCTTGGACCCAAAGCCAAGGTTGAGTCTGAGGCCACAACCGAGTTTGAAAACATTGCTATAAAGTATATAATGATATTAGTAAATCATAGCATGTTCCAGCCAGGTCACCAAAAAGCCACATCTCCAATGTGGTAGAGACATGAAAATTTTCAATTAACATTTTTCAGAACCCCAAAAACAGATTCTTGAAAAAAAAATTGATTTGGAGCCCCACAAATGCCCAGAAACTATTAAGATTTCAATACTAGATAGCATGTTCCAGCCAGGTCACCAAAAAGCCACATCTCCAATGTGGTAGAGACAGGAAAAATTTCCATAACACTTTCAGAACCCCAAAAACAGATTCTTGGAAAAAAAAATTTGATTTGGAGCCCCACAAATGCCCGGAACTTACTAAGATTCCAATAGTAGATCTAAATTGTCCATTTCAGTGGACGATAGATCAAGTAGATTTGGAGATTCTTTTGGAGCTCTAAATCAATCAAACTTGAGATTAACGGATTCTGAGGGTGTTTGAAATTCTTTGGGTGCCTCTGCACTAGAAATGTGGTTTTTCAGATTGGCAGAGTACCAAGTTTCGTGACCTATCATTTCCTAATAATACAACATCTAATACATCTATTATTAAATATATTATACATCTAAATATAATACAATCTAAAAATGAACAAAAAAATAAAAACTCCTCATAAACATTATTACGCCCTTACCCAATCTAACACTCTCTCACACACACACACACCCTACATCAAAAATCCCCAAATTACAAATCCTAAGCCCGTAACCCTAAGAGAGAGAAGTTTATTAATTTTGACTTTTCTTTTAATTCAGACAGAGAGAGATGGTGTTTTTTTTTATTTTGCTTTATTTCTTTTTCTTTTTTCTTTTTTATGAGAGAGAGAGAAAGACCAGTTACTTGGGCTGGGCTGGACCAGGCCGACCAGGGTTTGTTGAAATATTTTGGGCCAAAAGCAGGCCAGCCCTTAAACAAAAGGAAAATTGTTTCATGAGTCGGGGACGCATTTCTACATATGCGTTCCCCGAGGTATAAAGCATCCATTTTAAAGATTGATGTAAATGGGAGGTCCATCTAAAAACAGTTGAAACTAACGGTTCAAATGCTTTCTTTATGAATCTATTATTTTTAATTTTTAAAATTTATTTATTTTTCTATATTATGGGGCCGTCACTTGGTGTGACGTTAAAAGGCTCGGGTAGCCAGCGCAACGGCGCGAGTTCGAGTCCTGAGAGCAGCCACTTTGTACATAACCCAAAGGTTATAGGACCGTTTCCAGCCCACCC